GCCATTTATTAAGAGGAGTTGAGATTTGTGTTTGACTTGTTCGTCACTTGAACTTCCAGGGCCTAGCACAGTGACTGGCACAGTAAGCATTATTTTTTTTTCCAGAAGTAAACATTTATTTGCCAAAGAAAATCTGTCAAAAGTTTTTGTGTGCTCTCAGAATTCTGGATGGAAAATCTGTGGGTATCTCCCCAGATCTGGCTATCACAGACTGTCCCAGGCTGTCACTTAACCTTATCTAAAACCAATCTCAGTCTCTTCCCCTTTCCTCTTCCTCCCTTCCCTGTTTTTGTACTGATACTATTTTCTCTGGGATGCTGAGATGGAAAGCTCATAGTCACATGTGAGCCCCACTTCCGTGCACAGTGTAACAAATCAATAAAAATCTTTTATGAATTTTTTTTTTTACAAATGCTCCTTGCATTCAAAATGTTAACTTCTTTAGACTTTCTTTAGACTTTCTCCATTTTAATAATTATTTATTGGTTTCTATTTTACTTCTTCTATTTTTATCCTGACACTTCCTGTTCAAGACCCTATAGTCAAGGAGCAAAGGTCAACACTGTGATCTGCATCCAGGGTCTTTCAAGGTGAACTCCACAGGTGCCACACACACCCTCCGTAACTCTGCCTGACCATGTCTACTTGGTACTTTGCTACACTGGTTTCCTGCCAGAGATGCCCAGGCTGCTCCAGTCTATCTCAAGCACTCTAGGAGGAACATTGTGGTGAGGAGCATCAACCTCGACCAGACAGACCTCGGTTCATAGCCCCAGCTCTACTCCTTTACCATTTAACCTCTATCCCTTTCACTCTAAGTTAACATTTTCAGGACCTGGGAAGCAGCCTGTATAATTTGGCTTTTACGAGATTTGACTTTAGTTTTAGCTCCTATCCTGAAACTAGAAAGAATTTAGTCTCCCATGTTCTTGAATGGTTCTTACAGTTCTCCTTGAAGAGGTCCTTCACATTCCTTGTAAGTTGGATTCCTAGGTATTTTTATTCTCTTCGTAGCAATTGTGAATGGGAGTTCACTCATAATTTGGCTCTCTGTCTGTTATTGGTGTATAAGGATGCTTGTGATTTTTGTACATTGATTTTGTATCCTGAGACTTTGCTGAAGTTGCTTATCAGCTTAAGGAGATTTTGGGCTGAGACGATGGGGTTTTCTAAATATACAATCATGTCATCTGCAAACAGAGACAATTTGATTTCCTCTTTTCCTATTCGAATACTTTTTATTTCTTTCTCTTGCCTGATTGCCCTGGCCAGAACTTCCAATACTATGTTGAATACGAGTGGTGAGAGTTGGAATGAACAGAAGAATCTCTTCTTTGAGATTCTTCCACCTATTTGCCACTCAGCCTCCTCGGGCTGTGCAAAGCGACACTCAGTGGACCTTTGCTGAGGAGCTGCTCACACTTCTGTGATGAAGGATGGCCAGCGCCATTCCAAAGAAGGAATGATTGTCACCACAGTCCTGCTGTCTTTCTAGTCTCCCTGCAACTCTAGACATGAGCATCCCTTCCCTCAAGGACTTGCTGTTTGTTCCTGGTGGCAAGACACCACAACCGTGTCCCAGTATACTGACATTAGACCCCGAGCTGACTCAGTAAAACTGTCTAGGTTTATTAAAGACAAGTGAATACTCTGATTCCCAGATGAAGCTGAAGTGTAAGTTACGGTGTCCTAGGTTTTTACATTTTGTGGGAAATGACAAAGTGATGCTAATTTTTGTTTTTACCAAATAAGGGCACTAACAAAAATTTACTACCTTGCATTCTATTTTTTTCAATGAAAAAAAAAAAACACTTATAGTTTCTGCATAAAAAGATGTTATTAAGTTGAACAGGTTTAGTTTTGGGATTATTATTTTTCTTAGTTCACTGAGGCGAGGTGAAATGTTAGCCAGGAATTGGCTCTCATCATTAATCCTGAGTTTGGAAACCACTGTTACATGAAACTTGTTAATTCAGTGGACATATTCTTGAAGATCCTCTTTCAAGTCCTTTAATTTGAGAGGACTGAAGAAGGTCACAGCTATGGTGCTACTTCCTCCTCTTCCCTATACCTATACATATCCTTATGATACATTTAAACAATTACTTGTCTTGTACTGTCCTCTAATGGTTTCGTATATGGATATCTTGTCTCTTCCAACCAGATTTGAATGCCAGGCAAATAGAAGGTACTGAAGAACTAATTTTACAAATGCATTTCTATAGTATACGCCAACCAGCAGGCTGTTTAAAGATGTTCGGACATTTGCATGCCTATGTGGGTGTTTAAATATTTTGGAAGTCTTTTGGAATCATCAATGTGAAAAGTGTGCATTTTTGAAGAATTAAACGACCTTTGTAAAGTAAGAAAACAAGCCTTTGGAGTCAAGTCTCTACCTTCGTCTCCATTTCCTGACGAGGCTGCAAGATTAAAATCCCAATTGAGTAGACGTGGCCCTGCATTTGAAGCATAGATGAAGTCTCTCCTCATTTTTGATGATATAGTAATAATGTAGTGCGTAGCAAGGTAGTTGAGGTGCTCCCACAAAATATCAGAATTGTTTTTCATTTTAATGTACTTTTTTTAACTTAAAAAAACCATAAAATGTTCCTCAGAGTGACAGTCAAGCTTCAATATTTATGACTTTCTGATTGCTCTAGCGGTTCAGAAAAAAAAAAATAAAAATGAGCCCTGAAGTAAAATTTGAGTGGAAAAGATTAAAATTCAGAATTATGGACTTTTCTCATTTAAATAAGCATTCACATTTTCCTGGAAGTTTTATGTGCCAACCCCAGTTTCTCTGTGTTTGACAATCCTTGAAATAGTACTTAACTTCTTTCTTGAAAATATATGAACGGTTTTATTTTTTGAAAATAGGTCCCCTTGGATGAGCACAACATTCTCCCAGAAGCTTTTACACTCTACTTTAGACCACAAACCAAGCACACACACACATTGTCTTGGAAGTGAATGGTTCTTTTCAGAGCACTAGCGGGGGAGCATATGAGTGAATGAAAGTGGATACAGGAGAGAGCATCATTATCTTTAGGATATTTTAAACTGCTATGATTTATTATATCTACTCGGCCGATTGGTGACATGTACTCTAAATTGCTCCATCATTTACTTTCCTGTGAACTCTTGTTTTCTGATTCATATATCTTAAGTCTTATGACTAAATCAAACCATATTTCCTTACCCAAATGCAGTTCTTTAATTACTTTATAATTTTGTGACTGCTTTTTCCCTTCGAATAGTGTATTTCGACAGCTACTTAGAGGAATATGTTATTAGTGTCTAATTAAATTTTTAATTTAGTTAGGGAAAGGAGGAATGTGACTACAGGTTGGCATCTGTAATCTGAAAATACAAAATACAAAATGCTCCAAAATCCAAAACTCTTTGAGTGCTAACATGGTGCCAAAAGTAGAAAATTCGACACATAAGTACTAACACGAATTTGGTTTCACGCACAAAATTATTAAAAATATTGTATAAAATTACCTTCAGGCCATGTATATAAGGTGTATATGAAACATAAGTGAATTTTGTGTTTAGACTTGGGTCTCATCCCCAAGATATCTCATTATGTGTATGTAAATATCCCAAAATCTGGAAAAAATCTGAAAATCTGGAAAAAAAGTCCGAAAATCTGAAACACTCCTGGTCCTAAGCATTTCAGATGAGGGATACTCAGCCTGTATTCCCATTCAAGGTGTGTGTAAGGTCATTTTATTACTAGGAACTCTAATTGCTGTTACAGAATGTGGATGTGACTAAAGAAAAATGACAGTTGATGAATACTCTCAGAAAGGGAGTAAGGAAGAACGACTCCCCCCACACACGAAGATTCGCTGTAAAAGAAAATTTTGTTATACTCATTAAAAAGTATTTAAGTTTTAGTAACAACTTACATCTCCAGCATTTTCCTCTCTTAGCTTTCCTGATTAATTAATTCTTTCAACAAATATCTGAGTGTTCCCTAAGCGTTGTTTTAGGTTCTGGGAGTACAGCAGTAACTAACACAGACCAAAGCTCTACCTTTGTGTTACTGATACTCTAATGATTCCTGGTGAATTCATTTATTTATTTTTACAAAAGCTTGTTATATGAGCCTTATATAAAAGATCCAAATAGTTATATCCTGCAGCCTTATTAGTAAAAGAACCAAAATGAATAATTCAGGATTTGATTTCTAGGGTAGCAGTGTGATAAAATACTCTTTTTCTAGATTTGGATTCTGAGCAGTAGCAGGTACATATTGTGGCGACAAAAACTGACTCATCCCTGAAGAAAGTAATATGGAAAGCAGAGAAATTGTCAGGATTGTTTGGCGACAGTATTGTGAGACTGTTCTCCTAAACATGCATAAAAATGTTTAAATGGCAGAAGAGAACAGCATCTTTGCATCTGGTTTACAAGAAAGGTTTTATTCAAGACAATATTGGAAAAAAGTCTTAGCCTGAGCCAATTTTGAAATGTTGAGGATGGGGAGAAATTTGAGGCAGAGCTGGCCCTAGTTATAAAAGAGAAGGCAGAGTTTGGGCATCCACCTTTTCCCATCTCCCTTTACCCCTTTTTCCATCTGACTTATTACAGATCCTGCCACATTCCATGTGGGTAGAGAGAACTGGCTGCCCCAGGTCCGCAGACCTACTCTGCTATTTGGCATTCATGTGAGCATGAACAACCACCTAGTTCAGACTTCATTTTCCCATCTACAAAATAAAGATAAGAACACAGACTTCAGAAGGTAATGGTGAAGATTAGATATAATGTATATGAAAATGCTTTGAAACAATTCGTAACAAGAAATAGCATAATGGTTAATACTTCTTTAAGCAATGGAAATAAGACTCTGAGAAGCACAGGAGCTCTCTATACACCGGAGAGCTTTTCTCAGACTGTGCCTTAGATGACCTATGCCATGGGCAGGGCTGGTTACTCTGGTTACAGAAAGCCATATTGACCCCAGTCTGTTCTGATCTTGAGTTACTCACTCTTGCCAGGCTGGTCCCAGATGGAACTTTGTATGGAACGTACTTCCTATAGATATGACCAACTCTGGAACACGGAACATCAAACATTTCTCCTCCACACATCCAAACCTGAAAAGGGAAAAACAGAACAGAAGACAACAGTGAATCTCACACCAGAAAGGAATTATCAGTAGGACTCACAAACCATCTTAAAATCTCTAAAAGTCGTTAAATCAATAAGTTCTACTTACTATAAATGGCTAACCAAAAAAGAAAACCATGTTATTTAAAATCTAGATTCATAAAAGTTTAAAACCAAAATACAGCTGAGTGCAGTGGCTCATGCCTGTAATCCCAGTACTTTGGGAGGCCAAGGAGGGAGGATCACTCGAGCCCAGGAGGTCATGACCGGTCTGTGCAACATGACAAAACTTCATCTCTACAAAAAATACAAAAATTAGCTGGATGTGGTGGTGTGTGCCTGCAGCCCCAGCTACTTGGGAGGCTGAGGTGGGAGAACGGCTTGCTGCAGTGACCTATGTTTCCACCACTGCACTTCAGCCTGGGCAACAGAGCGAGACCCTGTCTTAACAAAAAAAAACCCACCGAAACTAAAATAGTAGTTCAATAAAATCTTGTTTCTATAGACAATATGTTGGCTTAAGAAAAATTCTAGTAAAATTTTGTTACAAATATTGTATTGAACCCACATTTCACACTTAGACATCTTATTTATATAGATATTTGTTTCAATCATCTTGTAAAAATCATTTGAAGAAATAACATTTGAAATTAAAATGCTAATTTAAAAATTTAACATATAAAAAGTGGAATTTTAAAAATAGGTGAATGCTTTAAAGAACACAAGCATATGCATAAGTTTTAAGTTGCATTCTGAAACTTGCAGCAGTGCTAACCTTAAAAATCAGAGTTGCATTCTCATTTATCCCCCCCAACTGATCTTTTTCTTAGGTACAGAAAATAATCAGTTAAGATGCTGTACTTTCTTTTTTTTTTGAGATGGAGTTTTGCTCTTGTTGCCCAGGCTGCTGTGGAATGGCACAATCTCGGCTCATTGAAACCTCTGCCTCCTGGGTTCAAGCAATTCTCCTGCCTCAGCTGCCCAAGTAGCTGAGATTACAGGTGCCCACCACGATGCTCAGCTAATTTTTTTGTATTTTTAGTAGAGGTGGGGTTTCACCATGTTGGCCAGGCTAGTCTTGAACTCCTGACCTCAGGTGATCCGCCCGCCTCAATCTCCTAAAGTGTTGAGATTACAGGCGTGAGCCACCGCACCTGGCCCAAGATGCTGTACTTTTATATTTAGTAACAAAAGTCATGGTTATATTTTACCATGACTACCTTCTCAGACAGACGCACACTTAATTGTGGTTTTATATAACAGACCATCTATTATAAAAGAACTAATTATCAAAACATAAATCCAGGATTCATATAGGCTATAGTCTTAGCTATTTTTATTGTAAGATAAATGATTATAGAAAGAGATACTCTGATGGTTAATTTTATGACTCAACTTGGCTGGACCACAGCGACCAGACATTTGGTCAAACACTATTCTGGATCTTTCTGTGAAGGTGTTTTTGCATTCGATTAACATTTGAAATTAGTGGACTTTGAGTAAAGTGAATTACCTTCCATGATATGGATGGGCCTCATCCAATCGGATGAAGGTGTTAATAGAACAAAGTCTGACCTCTACTGGGCAAGAAGGAATTCGCCAGCAGAATCCCTGGGTCTCCAGCTTGCCCAACTACTCTGAAGATTGTGGACTTACCAAGCTTCCACAATCATGTGAGCCAATTCCTTAAAATTAATCTCTCTCTCCTCTTGGTTTTGTTTCTCTGGAGACCCCTGAGTAATACAGATACATATCTTGATTTGAAGTGTAATGTTGAAAAAGAGAAAGAGAAATGCTTATGTTTTCCTTTATATTTGCTTCCAATTTCTTTCACTAAGAGGAATGACACCCAAGTGAGAATGGTTGAACAAATAGTGATTAAGGTCAATGGAAGTCCAAGAAGGAAGAAATGCAATTATTAAAGCAACATTCAGTTGCTGTAATTAAGTTCAGGATTACTCATAATATTAATTTCAACTTGATGGAATATTTATTAATGATTTGGATCAAGCCTTCAGAGATACGTGTGGGTGATATAAAGCTGGTAAGGGCAGTGGACAGTCTAAAGTAAATTATGAACACCTGGAAAGATCTCCACAGGATGGAGTTATGTAACATTGAACATAAAAAGGCAACAACAAACACCCGTCCCAGGATCTTAAGAAATCGACTCTTCCACACATCACTCCTATGGAGAATTTAGGGACCAGCGATACAGATCTATCTGCAGGCCTGAAGTCTTTTGCTAATTTCTGGATAAATGCTATTTATATTTCCTTCTAAGGGGAATTTTAAAGTGGAAAAGTGATGTGAACTCTGTCTTAAGAGAGGCAATTGAAAGAACTAAAGATGTGTCGTTCTGATAAGATAAAATTCAGAGATAGCCTTTTCAAAGAACCTTATATTTGGAAGAGATGTTTTATAGAGCCTTTAGGAGATAGAACCAGGATTAATTGCATATAGCTATAAGGAGGCAGATTTTAACCTAGTAGGAAGAAATTTCTAATAAAATGATTAAAGATCGAATGGACTTCCCGTATCACTAGATGTGTTGAAATCTGCAGCAGATGACAGTGGGGATAAACATATGACTCGAATGGACATTTGATCTAGCTGATACTTTAAGGCAATTCTACAGCATGAGTTAGCGTTTATGAATGGTTATTATGCCCTTTTCATTATTTCATGTAATGCTCACAATTCAATGACAGACTTTACTGTTTCCCCAATTATGAAGGTGGGAAATTGGCAGCCTAGAGACGCTGAGTAGCTTGTTCAAAGCCACATAACTGACCACTTCCAGAACTGAGATTTGAAAACCTAGTGGTTTAACTTCAGTGCCCACGTGTTTAATTGATATTGTATCTACAGATTATGCAAACTCTTTCTGTAAAGGGCCAGATAATAAATACTTTTGCCTTTGTAGGTCATATGGTATCTTTTGCAACTCCTCAAATCTGCTAACAAATAGGCATAGTGTAATTTCAGTTAAACCCTGCTTACAAAAACTGGCAGTGGGCTACTGTTTGCTGGCTCTTGTTCTATAGAGTAAGGAGTCCTTTCAAACACCGAAATTCAGTGATTCTAAGATAATGTATGTGGGAGATTATAGTTTCCAAAATTAGACACCACAATATCTTCAATTGCACATACCTCTCTGCAATGTGACCTTGGTAACTAATTTCCCATTAGGGGATCAGTCTATGTCTCCTCTCTTTGAATTAGGGTGAGCTTATGAATTCTTAGACTAGTAGAGTACAACAGAAGTGGTTGAAGATAAGTCATAAAAGGCCACATAACCTGTCCTCTGGGGCATTTGCTTTTGAAACTCTGGGCTTCCATGTGAGAAATTTGACTCTGAGGAGTTTCACAATTGACCATTGTGAAAAAGTCCAAGCACCTGAGATGTCATGCATTGGGTAAATACCTTTACTTAAGGTTTTAACTGCTCTCCAACATTAGCTGCCAACCCTGTGAATAAAGATGCCTCTAGGTGATTCCAGCCCCTTGCTGTTGAATCATCCTCCCGAGACTCCACATACCACAGAGCGGAAACAAGCTATCTCTTCTGTGCCTTTTTTTGAATTTGCGGCCCACAAAATCCAAAAGCTTAATAAAACAGTTGCTTTATGGTGTTAGGCTTTGTTATGCAGCAGTAGTAATTGGAACTACATGTTTCTAAATCCATGATAAAGGTGAATTACTAGCACCGATAACCAAAGTTTATGGATCACTTATAGTTTTCATCTTATTCAATTGTACGGGATACAGAGCTAGGACTCAGCCATTTCCATCCTCACTTCCTCCTGGGCACAGAGCCAAGTTATAATTCCCAGCTCCTTTGTATTTAGATGTGACTATGTAACTGTTTCTTGCCAGTGGAATGCAAATGGAAGTGATGTGCATCACCTCCGGATGAAAGAAATCACTAGTGGACTTCTTTCTCTATCTTATTTATAATATGTTTTTCCCTCAGAGCCTGAGTAATTGCAGAAAATACAGAGGAGGATTCTGAGGCCCTAGCAGATGGTAGAATCATTAAATGGATGGAGACGGGGCTGCTGAAAACTGGGTGAAGAATTACTCGTGCCTCCTCCTCCAAATTGTGAGACAAGCAATAGAAAATTCTTATTAATGTTAAATTACCAAGATTTTGGATTTATTGTAGACATTGTTCCACCCTAATGAATAGTCATTTTTTTCTCAGCCTCTTCTGATATTTTTAATCAAATGTAGTGATTGTAATTATTTGGGAGATTACTTTAATTCTTATTCCTGCATTTTCAAGAGGTAGAATTTAAAAGTAATTCGACAACAGGTGATGGGGTGGAAAATGGGAGGGAGGAGAATGTTGGATAGTCCAGTGTATAATCAAATGTCAGTTCTTATTGGTCAAAGATAAGCAAATGTCAAGGCAAAGAAACTTTCTTATCATCTGCAGCTGGGAGATAGGAATTTGTTGGCACAGCCTTTTATTTTTCACAGAAAAGTGCCCATATTGATTAGCTTCTGGAGGTGGCCAATCTTCCCTGCAGGATTAGGAGATGGTGATAAGTGAGGACAAGATGTGGGGTCAAGGTCTGGAGCAAGACCCTACATTTTCTGGCTTTAACCTCTTCTTCACTTCATGTGATCTTGTAAAATACTTACAAAGTGAGCACAAGTGAACTAAATGCTTCTTAGGAGAGTATTTGCAGAATGAAAACCGCCACAATAGAAAGTTCAATAAATCATTATTGCTTTCTGTTATGGATTGAATGTTTGTATCCACCCACCCTATCAAACTCATATGTTGAAATTTTAACCTCCAATGTGGTGGTATTCGGTGGTGGGGTCCTGGGAGCTGATTAAGTTATGAGGGTAGAGTTCTCAAGAATAGAATTAGTGGACTAGTAAAGGAGACCCCAGAGAGCTCTCTCACTGTCTTTCCACCATGTGAAGATACAATGAGTAGTTGGCAGTCTGCAACCTGGTAGAGAGCCCTCTC